AACCACACAGCTTGGTGTCATCGACAAACTTGCTGAGGGTGCACTCAATCCCACTGTCCATGTCAGCGACAAAGATGTTGAACAAGACCGGTCCCAACACCGATCCCTGAGGGACACCACTCGTTACTGGTCTCCAGCTGGACATTGAGCCATTGACCACAACTCTCTGTGTGCGGCCATCCAGCCAGTTCTTTATCCACTGAGTGGTCCATCCATCAAATTGATGTGTCTCCAATTTAGAGACAAGGATGTCGTGTGGGACAGTGTCGAACGCTTTGAACAAGTCCAGGTAGATGACATCAACTGCTCTACCCCTGTCCAATAGTAGCCCCATCATAGAAGGCCTCCAAATTGTTCAGGCAGCATTTCCCCTTAGTGAAGCCATGCTGGCTGTCACCAAGCACCTTGTTGTTTTTCATGTGCCTTAGCATGCCTTCAGGGAGAATCTGCTCCAAGATTTTGCCAGGCACAGAGGTGAGACTGACTGCTCTGTAATTCCCTGGGTCATCCATTTTCCCCTTCTTGAAAATGGGGGTTATATTTCCCTTTTTCCAGTCATCGGGAACTTCACCTGACTGCCAGGATTTTTCAGATATGATGGACAGCGGCTTCGCAACTTCTTTCGCCAGCTATTCAGCTTCTTAAAGACCAGTCAACCAAATATGGAATATTAGGGCTCAGGAAACCAAACTTCTTTGTTTCTGGTATTATAGACAGATCTCACCCCCTAGGTTTACACTTCCTGAAAAGTTGGGACAACTGGTATTTGGGAGAAAGGTGTGCTGCAAGTACATGCAAGAAGTTTACAGTATTGGAATTGGGAGATAAAGTAGAGTTATGGCCTGACTCAGCATGGTGTGTGTGAACCTGATTGGGTCTGAAATCTTGCCACAACTTGACTCATCCCTTTTTTCTACTGGCAAATTACTTTTGCTCATCCTTTTTTGTTTTAGTTTTATTTTCTGTTGTAGACATGATTAAAAGCAATTTGGAATAATTCCAGTACTTACTGTGGTGGATTGATCCTGAGTGGATGGTAAGTGCCCACCAAAGCTGTTCAGTCATTCCACCTCCTCATCTGAACAGGGGAAAGAAAATACAATGAAATACTTGTGGGTCGAAACAAAGACAGGAAAAGATCATGGGCCAAGTACCACCATGGGCAAAACAGACTCCTCTTTGGAAAATCAGTTCAATTTATTACCAATCAAATCTTTAAACACCTTTCCCCCACCCCTCCCTTCTTCATGGGCTTCCTGATTCCTGTACTGTCTCCACCCCACCAGTGCAGGGGGACAGAGAATGGGGGTGGTGGTCAGTTCATCCTAAATTGTCTCTAATGCGCTTTCCTCCTCAGGGGAGAACTCCTCACACTCTTCCCCTGCTCCAGCACGTGATCCCTCCCACAGGAAACAGTCTTCCATGAACTTCTCCAGTGTGAGTTCTTCCCCACAGGCTGCAGTTCTTCCCTGCTCCAGCGTGCGTTCCTTCTACAGGGCACAGTCCAGGAACAGACTGCTCCGGTGTGAGTACCCCGCAGGGTCAAAAGTCCTGCCAGCAAACCTGCTCCACTTTGGAGCAGTATGTCTCAAATCTCAGTGAAGATGTCCATATGCTTTCTAATTTTTTTTTTCTTAAATATCAGATATTTTTGTGGAGAATTCTAATTTTTAGCTATTTACACTTCAATGCAGGTGCTTTTACAGGCTTCTGCTCTTATTTGTTGTCTTCAGAGTATGGAAAACAAGAACGACTTTGTGTCCATTGGTATTTCACAGATGCACATTACTCAGAATTTGCAGTTCATCATCTAGAATGTTGCAAATGCTCTCTTTTATCAAGTAGGTCAAACACCTTAAAGCCACACTGGATCATAAAACTTCTTTTAAAAGTATTTCATGCTTTCTGTAAATGCTTCCTGTAAAGCTTCATGCATGTTGTAATGATATCCAGGCACCCTGTGAGTGTTCCATGTTCCGTGAAAGTGTGTGTCCAAATCAATGTATTGCCTTTGCCCCTAAGCTGGAGGCACTGTAGTTGCCCAAGTTCAAGTTTTACAATCAAACAGCAGTCTAACTGAAGGAGAAACATCCTGATAACTGTTCTGGTTTTCTACACTTGCTTTTTGTTCTCGCTGTGCCAGGCAGGAGTTAAATTATGCCCTCTTGAGACTGCAGTTGGACTCTTCAGTCACATCCCCTTTTCTTTAGTTAAAATTGTAGTATGTCTCTTCTGCAGGAGTGGCACAAAAAGGAACCGTGTTGGGATAAAAGATCTGGTACTCCCCGGATAAGCAGATATGTAGCTTGGTAAGGATTCTACCCTACCATGTCTTTTTTCTAGAGAAAGGGTTGAGGCCAAGAGGACCTTAGGGAGGCAAATAATTATTTTAACCCTTCATCTTGTTAGAAAGCAATACTTAGAAAGAAAACAACCCCACACTTGATGTTTCAGTTTTATGTCTACAATCCATAGTAATTTTACAGGCATGATGCAGAAGTAGGCTATAATTTAGTTATATACAGTCTTAGTAATGACATACTAACTGTGAAGCTCTTCTCACCAAACCAGGTTTTTGTCATAAATTCACTGTTACAAAATTTACAGCTATAGATCAAACAAATTAAGCATCCAAAACTTCCAGTGAGCTTTTCATGTGTAAATATTTCACTGCCGCTAAATATGCTTGAAAATGAAAAGGTTTTGGTGAGTTCTTAGTTGGCACGTGTTTTTCTAATCTTTATCAGGAAATGCTTTTCATGACAAGGGGCAATTGTTCCCTTTTCAGAATTGTCTGAGATTTAAGGCTTCTGATGTCCCTTTTTCTTTCAAAGCAAGTAAAGCAGATAGATGCTCGGCAGTTCTGAAAATCAAGCTATGTATCTAGGTATCTAGCTTTGTTTGAAACATTCTGGATCAGTTTATAAGAGTGATTATTGGAACTGGAGTGAAACCAAGTAATCCTGTTGCCCAGACTTGAATTCTAATTACATGCCTTGTACTCTGCCCTTTACTTCTTTATCTTAAGTATAATCTACTCCAGTGTTTTGTGTTTCTCAGTGGCAGTTTCCAGTTGTGAGAGAGTGATTATTTTCAGGATCTTTAAAAAGTCCATAATTTCTTGTCAAATGTTAGGGGGGAAAAATCTACTTAGAGAAACAGGAGTCATGGAATGAGTGTAAATATTGACACACTGTCTTTGAAGCTCCAAGTCCTAGTGTGAAACTTGATGTCAGTCACTTTCAGTCCTTGTACTTAAAGTAAGTCAAATGAGTGCTGAAATGCAGTGTTCCTCAGTAAAGATTTTTACTTGACCTAAGGAGATTTAACCTTCCAAGATGATCTCGGCTACCTTCCAAAATATATTGCTGAGGATGCTTTTTTTCCTGCTTTCTGTGTTCAAGGCTTATCACTATTCACACTGATCTTTCAGAAGACTCTCTGGACATTTCAGTTTATGAAACATCAGCAACAGATATCATCGTGATGAAAAAATAAAAGGGACAGCTAAGGCAGCTTTACACAGCTATCCCTTTTCCCTCTGGGACTTGTTAAGTGTTACACAAACAAAACTCTCTGGTTGCCTTTGCTTGTGTAGGGACTTGCAGTCTTTTCTCAGACTTTGTTGTCTGGCCTGTTTTGTTTCATTATTAATATTTAGCAGTTTACATTTACCATATAGCATGATCATTTTGCAGGGTTAATTATCTGTGAACAGGGAAAGTTTTGTTCTGCAAAACTACCCTGAGCATAGAGTGTGATCTGACATTCTCTGCAGGTTGTTTGGATGTATGTTTGTTTTTTTTTTAATGAAATATTAGCTAGGGCTTTGATTAAAGAAAAGTTAACACCACTAAGTTATCAGGGCAGAGCTTACTTCTCTGACTCAACATTTAGCCTTCTGTTTAGCTGACCATGGCCTGCAGCTGAATCTGTCTTTACTAGTGTTGGTCATGTGTAAGCCAAAACACAGCCTGCATGCTTATACCATAGTTGGCTTTGCAGTAATAGAGCAAGTATTGAAGACAGGGAAGCCTTGTAATATTTCTTTTTAGTTATGACTTTAATAGGAGGAAGGAGTTCGGAACAGCATGTGCTATTTTTTATGTGGCTAGTCATACATCAAGATTGTAAGATCTTTGGAGCAGAAGATGTATTTTGCGTAATCCTTTCTACCTCATTTTCTCCACAGAGCTTTGATCTGTGATTAGATCTATGTGTATAAATCTGTATATGTAGCAGTTAGTTACTCATAGCAGAACCAATTCTTGAGCCTAGTACAAAGCTAGAAATGAGGCAAATAGGGTATTTGTAGTGCTTTGAGTGTACAAACCTTTAATGTGTTCTTAAATACAGAAATTGGTGCCCAAGCTTAATAGCTATCACATGCAAAATATGTTTACCCTGATATTTTGAAATTACTACTTACAACAGGCCTCATGGGCTCCTTGTCCCCTTTGTGTGCATGTGTTATTCCCACTGTTGATGCTGGGAATTAGCTGTACACATCAGGAGGAGGATATACCCCCTGGACTAGAACTTAGACAGTAGGGAGTATGAAATCCTCCAGCTATTAGATAGCAAGAACAGCACAGCTTCAGCATTGCTCCCACTTGGCTTGTCACCTCTGCATTTTGTGATTTTGTGCTAAGGAAATAGTAATGGAAGTAGCAGCTGTGAAATGTGATGATAGCACAGTGCTACCTTGATAGAAATTGCAGCTCAGAGCTGCGGACCAAGTGTGGCCCTTTAAGGACTTTGAATGATGGAAGTGATCTGTTTCTTCAGGAAAAAGCAGCCATCCAGGCTGACCCTAGTGTAAAGCTTATGTCACTTGCTGCATTAATAAATGGTTGTCCAGAGAGAGGATTGCTTTCATTTGTGTCCTTTAAAATATATTTTCAAATTTGCATTCAGTTATTTGTTTCATCTATTAGGCCAGATCTCTTCTCAAGATGTTCTGTTCTTTGAATTGCCGTGGTTTTTTGTTTCTTTTCTAGTACTGTCTGGGTAGCTGTTACCTTCAGTCACATGAGTGAAGTTTATATATGTCAGATATGTCTGGATATAAACGGTGTTGGACTTGACATTCTCAGTTTCTTCTATGTAAGTAATTGCATGAGGGGGAGGAGTAATAGTGTGATATAACACAAAGGTTCAAGAATGGTTTATCTTATAAGTGCTTGATCTTTTGTTTTCTGGGGGGTGTTCTTCATTTTCTGAATCTACTTTGCTAATACTGTGTGGAAGCTGTCAGGCGTGGGGCACTCCAGAACTGTTTAGAGCTCCTACACGTTTCCAAAACGAGAACTACAAAAGATTCAGTCAACTTTGCAAGAGAAAAGCTCCCTCCTGTGGAAGAGATGAACCTCTGCAGTGACTATGAGCAACGTTGGGGCGTTTAAGACTGTGATTTTACATTAGCAAGAAAAAAGAGCACAAGCCCTGTAGGGGTTTGCAGAGGCTGGAATTTAAAAGCATGTTCCCTGTTATTGTTCCCAAAGCAAGTTCTTCTGATTTTGAATGACTTATTTCTAATATGTGTCAGTTGTAGCTGTTTGCGGTCTGTAAGCAAAATTGGATCATTTAAATAACATGTGGCCACAGTGGAACCTTTAGTGTCAAAGGTGTCTGAAGCACAAGGGTGCTTTAGTGACAGGACAACGGGGTATGGCTTGAAACTGACAAAGGGGAGATTTAGATTAAACATGAGGAAAACATTCTTCTTTGTGGAGGTTGTGAGACGCTGACACAGGTTGCCCAGAGAAGCCGTGGCTGCCCCAATCCTGGCAGTGTTCAAGGCCAGGTTGGACAGGGCTTGGAGCAACCTGGTCTAATAGAAGGTGTTCTGCCCGTGGCAGGGGGTTGGAACTAGATGATCTTCAAGGTCCCCTCCAACCCAAACCATTCTATGGCTCTATATTTATACAGATTTTGCTTTCTGTAGCTCTTTGCTGAAAAACCTAAGTATTTTGGGCACTTCTGTGAATTAGAGTCATAGAATTTACATAAAAAAAATCAATTGTTTTTCTCTTTTCTGAATGTAATAGTTCTGTATATCCTGACAATCTGTATCAAAATTATTTTTGATATTGCTGCAATTGGGGGTCAGAGCTGAACTCAAAGCCCTGTCTGACTTGAAAAATGCAACTGCACAAAAAGCATAAAGATGAATTTGTGGAGGAGCTGGAGCTAGAATTCATCTTGATATCAAATTTCTGCTAGAAACAGTATTTTTACCTTTGAGCTGAATATGATTCATGCTTGTGATCTGAAGGTGGAAGGCTGTAGCTCATTAGCACATTAGCAGAACCCTGAGGTGTTTACTTCCATAAATGCTAATATTATTCCCCCAAGAATGAAGCACAGGGGAGTGAGAGGTAGGATAGAGGAGGGGAAAGACAGATTATTTAGCCTTGCAGTGGAGATTAAATTTACCAACTCGGATTCATTGCCAGGTAGAGGACTGAGACAGCACAGAGTGCATTGACCCACTGCAGAAAAATGACATTAGGTGTTGCAATCCTGTTAACTGGCAAAATGCTGAATTACAATCTTGTTCAGAGCTAGCTGGGTTCTAGCTTGTGCCACACAGCAACATGGATGTAACTTTGGTTACAGAAACGTGATTTGACAAATTCTTTGTGACGTGTAATGGTGAAGTCAGGTTTGGTTATCTTCTATTTATAAGAACTGTGAAGGTTCTGTAGCTTTAGTGAATAGTCTGTATGATAGTGCATGTTAAGAAATGCTGCTGAACTTGAGGGAAAGCAGAAACTGCTCATGAGGCTGCATGCACTGAAAGCTCAAGTCAGGGTGATGAGGGATGCTGGTAGAAGTGCTCTATTGAAGAGGTTCAGTTCTGTGTGAGCTCCCTGGACCTCAGTCTGCCTCTGATCTCCATTTGGACCACAGAGCTCTCAGTGGCTGCTGCTCTTCAGGTGCTAGTTTGAATTAAATTCAGAAAGTAAAGGGGAGTTGCGTTTGCATTTAAGGAGTTTCACCGGGTCCTGCAAGTAGTGTGTTTGTGTGGGAAAAGTGGCCTACGAAGTTACAAAGGGCGTGGGGGAGTCTTTTTGATGTGGCCTCCAGCTTAGAGATGGCTCCTGGGTCTTAAAGTTCCTTCTTACTATATTTCCTCTAAGTAGCACCATCTAGTGATTGGCTGGAGTATTTTTGATTGCTGCTTTTTTTTCCCCACTGGCAGTTCTATTCTGGTTTCTTAAGAAATTGAAGCTAGTGTTGAGCACATTTTGTCTCCACCCTCGATGTTAAATGTTTTTCATGAAAATTGAAAGAGAGGCTAAAGTCCTGTAATTGAGTTGCTTTGAATTTTATGAAATTACATATCAGAACAGAGCATCCATAATGACAGAAGGGCTGCAATATGTGTGGAACCATAGTATTAAAACACCAGAAAATCCACGGGAGATGGACAGGAAATTAGCCCACAGTTCACTGTGATATACTACTGAGGAAAAAAAGGCAAAGTAAAAGTTTGACTAGGTTTTTCATATTCACAGGGCAGTGATTTTTGTGAAACAATTGTGAGCTGAAAGAACATTGCTTCAAAACCCTCAGCAGTTAATTTTCTTTTACTGGAGCAGTGGGAATTGAAATAATTATTAAAATACAGAAGAGAAAATTTACCAGAGCTGGGCATTTATTCTTGACTGTAATGGCTAATAATTTGTACCTGTTCACTTCAAATGAAGTCTTGTTTGAAAATCTGTAGACCATGGATAAAATAATTGCAGAGAAATGGTCTGGTGTTTTTGCAGTACTTTAAAGCATGGGTTTGGATTATCTGGTGCACATTGCACTAAATCCTTCTTCTCCTCCTCCAGGAATTCCACATCTAAGGGGCTACACAGCAGGTAACTCATAACTGATCTGAGATATGATAGAGCCAGCCTGCTTTTTTAAAGCACCTCATTTAATCTTTCATTTCTATGACTTTTAATAAAAGCCCAGAAGGTAAGAAGGAGATGGACTAAAATAATCTGTTAATTAAAAACAAGCAAACAAAGAATAACCCCCCAAAAAAATGAAAAGAAAGCACCAACTTTAGACTATACATTCTATACATAGAATTGGCCAGGGCTTTTTCGTTACAGTAAGTCTGAAATGTGGAAGTATCTTAGGTGAATCTGTTGGCATAGCAACTTAGATTGAGCAGAAGAGTGCCATCATAGTCAGAAAATAGTGTATGTTGTGATACTGTTGCATGCTACTGCCACTTCTCTGCAGACAGGGCCCTCTGGGGTTCACATTAAACTCATAATGATTCAGTTCAAGCTTCTAAGAACATTTGGCCCCGGCAGCACATACACTGTAGCTTGATGTAGATCTACCAATGATGTTACAACTGTCACTCCCATAACAGCAGGATGGCACCTAACCCTGTAGTTACCACGCTGAGAAGGGGCAGAAGGTCCATTTTACCTCCAACAGAGTCATATGGTTTTTGCCTTCATCATCAACTGATAGTTTATTTGTTGCTTCTCTCAGGGTGGTTTGAAGGCTACAGAAGTTACTGGATGGAATACTAGGCTGTGCCTTGCTATGTGGGATAAAGGGAGTAGGAGTGTCTGTTCTCTGGGGGAGGAAAACAAAGGCATTACAGGTAGTGTATGAAGCATTTATATATGGCAGCATTGAGGAAAAACAGAATATCAAAGCCTTAGACTTTGTCAATGATAATAACAGCAGATGTTATGAATTATATATTTTTAATTGAATATTTTGCGCATCAACATTGATGGAAAATCTGTCATTACTTTTAAGCCTTGTCTCTGATGGAGATCTGTTTGTATCTATCTACGTACCCATACCTGAGCAGTGCAACTCACTGCAGGTCAAAAAATTACAACCTCCAATGATTGCAGTGGGAGAACTTAATGGTTCTTCATTTGTGTGTATCTTCTACAGAGAAATTCAGTGAGTGTTAGAGCACTGTGGAAACAATCTTTGTGATAGTTTGAGTTCTTCAGCACTGTAATGGCTGTGGCATCTCCACCACTGACTGTCAGCAGTGCCTTCTGTCCAAATTTACTTCTTTGTATTTTTGGCAACTGCTCATTTTTTTCTTATTTATAGCTGGGATACAGTTGGAATCCCTGTGAATTTCTTCTGCAGAAAGAGGTAGACAAGATTATATGTAATGTGTAAGGTCATTCATGAGATTATCCTTCCTGAGTGCACAGACCTAAACTGTGTTGACTAATAAGAGAAATAATGACTTTGAAGTAGGACCAGAGAAAACGATGCAGAGAGGGCTGGTTTCCCTCTTCCTGGGTTGATGCAGTCTTGTGTTCCTAAGGCTGAAAGCCAGGGCTCCCAGGGATCTGAAGCTTTAAATGCTGGTCTCAGGGAGAGGAGAAAAGGAAGTAGTCCAAGGAATGCTGGCAAAAGCTGCCAGGAATGCAGCAGGGAAGGCCCATGAGCAGGAGTGCCTGTCTCTCCTAGCCAGAGATCTGGATTAGCTGCACTGAGGGGACTTTCCAGTCATTGCTTGTGAGCCTTGCAGAGCTAAGGGAAAACATGAATGTTGTAATACTCATTATACTGCTGCTTTGTGCTGCAGGGTTGACACAGCTATTAATTCAGTACTTTGAATTCTGGAAGCCAAAGCACTTGTTTCAGATCTCAAAAAGGTTAGCATTTACAAAATGCCACATCCTTATTTAATCAAAGCTTCACAAGGAGACTCTGGAAGAATAGAACTGTTCAGCTTGGCACACACATCAAAATTTTACATAGCAAGTGAGGCAGGCACTCTTGACCAAATGGAAACCAACCTCTGCTGGCACGTGAAAGCCTTGCATTATAAAACTCGGGTTCATCATAGAGATGTTCTGTTCTCATCTTTTATAGGAAGAATGTAACAGATGAGGTTTTCTGATACTCTGCTAGTCTGACATCTGCAAGGGTCACTCTGCATCTGCAAACCAATGGATGGAACCTCAGCTGAAGCCAGTGAAACCTCCCTACCTTGTGTTAGCAGGGCATGGAGACTTTACCAGTATTATTTCTTTTTCAGATGCAGTCAGCTGGTGGGAGATACCAAAGCCTGTAGTGGCTGCACTAAACACAAAGTCTTGTGAAAACTCTAATGATACAAGCCCTGTGCATGATCATAACTGTAATAATCATTACTAATAACTTGCTTTTGGATCCTGTTACTCAGCAGTCTGAAAGTGTTAACTGCTACCTAAATATAGATGAAAAAGTGACTCTGAAAGACTTTGTGTCTTTGTTTCAATCTGTCTTATGAAAATGAAAGCTGGAACGCTGCATGAGAAAAATCTTGAAGTCTTTCACGGATAAAACCTTTAGATATGAGTGTCTTGTGGTTTCAGTGGATTGACACGTTTTCAGCATTTTCTGACACTGTAATGAATAAATATATATTTAAGCTGAGTGTATTATGTCCTGTTTGAATTTTGGAGTTCTGCACTAAAATTGAAATACTATTTAGAAAAAGCTGTGTAAAGAACAAAGTTGTCTGGAGATTAAATGCTGCTGATTGAATAATGCATCAGACTGTCACAGCAACAGTTTTTTAGTGACTCAGGCTCTATGAATATTTACCAGAGTTGTCCTGCATGAAAGAAAATCAAACAATTACTTTCCAGGGAACTGCTGAAGTCTGGCGTCACCTTTACTAGGAGCAAATGTTTGCTTTGTTAGCAAAGCACTTGTGCAAGGGGAGATCGATGGGGCTAGTTTGCTTTATGTGTGCCAAGTATCAGCACTAGTGGTATGAATACTCAACAAACACCACTTGAATAATCTATTTAGGAATGATGTAAGGCCATCAAGCCACATTTCTGTATGCTTAAACCTTATCTAGGGGAGAAGGGTCTAACAGCTGATCAATGCCATTTCACCTGACCCAAGATAAACTGTTAAGCAGTCCTCATCCTTTTTATCACTGCCACTGTTTGTAGAAGGGGTGCTACAATCATGTTCAGTCTCAGGATACGGAGCCTCCAAGAAACAAGTGGTCTCGCTGTTCTTTCTGTCCTTTCGGAAGCAACTCACTCCATCTCCAGGCTCTTTCTTGACCACCCTCTGAACTGAATTGCTGCAAGACTTGCTAGGACATAAAGGAGCTGCCCTATTTGGCATTAATATGGGCATGAGTATTTACCATGGAAAAAGTGTGTTTCCCAGCTAACAGCCCTTCTCATGCCAGCATAGATTTATTCATTTTAATGTTTCTCAAATGCTGGAGAGCTAGGACATTATAGGTCAAAGCAGCAGAGCTCAAAGTGAAGGCTTGTCTTATGCATTTTAATTTTACTAGGATAGAAGCTTCTCTGTTAATTTATTATCATACATATTTCTTGCTGATGTGCTTTCAGTTCATATGTACAACCAAAATTAGGTTGCCCAGAGAAGCTGTGGCTGCCCATCCCTGGAAGTGTTCAAGGCAAGGCTGGATGGGGCTTTGAGCAGTCTGGTCTAGTGGAAGGGCAGGGACATTTGAACTAGATGATCTTCAAGGTCCCTTCTAACCCAAACCATTTTTGGTTTCACAGAACCCTAAGTATGCCAGTTGTTGTAGAATACAATTTCTTTCTAGTAGTGCAGAGCTAGAATTGATTGACAGCTGGAAGCTTGGTATCATTTAAGCCTGTTATCTGGAACTTCTGCTGAAGTGCTGGCAACAACACTTCTGTCTGAAGTACAGATTCCATTTGAATTTGATCAGTTCATTTTTTTTTTAGTTTGAAGAATTCTTTGTGTAATCTAGGAAAGGCCTAGGAAAGACATTAACATAGATTACTTCTAGAATTTCATCACAGTGAAATTTGCCTACGTAATATTGCCTCAGAGCAGAGATGCAGCTGGGTAGCAACCTGTTCCAGTGGTGTGTTACAGCAGTGCTACTGTCAGGTTCTTCTGTCCGTAGAAATCTGTAAATGGTCAAGCTTTTTGATTAATAATTCAACTAAAGAAAATATATCTTTGGTATATTACTTGTGTTCTAATTCGGTACCTTCCACACTATGTTAGTGTAATGAAATTCAGCTGCATTTTATCAATAAGCTCTACTGAATGTTACCACATTAACTGTCTGTATTCTAACAGACTGAAACTGTATTTCCTAAAAACTTTGGATAAAGAACATGAGTACTTTGGACTGGATTCTCAGACAGCACTGACTATGAACCCTCTCCTGTCTGACTTTCTAAAACCAGTGACTTTCTTGATATAGTATTTTCAACTCATTTATATGGTCATACTAGGGAAGAAATTGTTTATGTCCTTTATTACAAAGATCAAAAGTAATGGTAACCATTTACATACACAATTTACAAATTATTCACAAAGGGAATCACAGATATACAAGAACTGACAGCTTCAGCCCAAGTTGGGGATGGGAGAGTGTGTACTTGTTCCCCTGCTTTTATTTACTGAAATAAAAGATATGTTTGTCTTTTGTTGTATGTATTAAACACTGATCTAGTGTTTATGTAGCACCTTTAGTCATAACCATGCAAATGCTTACATGCTTACCTTTATTTGAAAGAGTGCAATGCATGTATGAACATGTTTGTTGGTCAGAAATCCTGTTGATTTTGGGTACAATACAGTAGCCAGGCTTGAAAAGGTTGATCTGTAGGAGTTAACTGTTTTGAGCAATGTGTGTTTAAAACAAAAATGAAGATTACTACCAGAACTCTTAATTTAAGAACTAAATAATAGTATGGTTGCTGTATCTTTCAGGAATATACTGCATGATCTTAAGATAGAAACTAGCCATTTTGTTAGGTGTCTGATACCATAGCTGGTTTATTGCTTTTCCTTCATTCAGGTTAGCATATTTTATACAGTTTCCTAAAACTATTTCAGAGACTGTGAAACTTAACAAAGAATCCTATCTTGAGAGACTTGGTAAATTAGGAAACTTCACAAAATATCTTAACAGCACTTACCAAAAGGGAGAATGAGTTTGCAAATTCCCTGGTATGAAAGCACAATATCAACAGTGCAATAGCTGCCATTTAGCTAAACCTACAAATATCCACAGTTTGCACGTTTTGCTGTCCACTGGGATGACATGTACGACAAAATGCTTGAAGGAGCACACCGATTTAGGAGCAAACACAAATGCAAATACAGAAATCACTCAGGTGATGTTGCATCCAATTTCTAAGCAATAAAGCTAAACACTTTGCAAGAGTTATGTCTAGTGGAACCATTTAGTGGGAATAATCCAGATACTTATGACGCTATTATGATGGTATGACTTTCTACCCAGCTATCAAATATTCTTTACCATGAACTTTCAGTATTCTCAGGATGACGTGTAAAGAATGTTGCAGATGCCATGGTAAACTTAATATACAGTAATAGGCAAAGATTTTAGTGACACCACCTGTATATACAACATAGTTGTTGGAACCTCATGGAACAAAGCAATGTTACAGTATGCCTTTGTTAAGGCTTCTTGCTGGTTTAAAAAGGTAGATTCCTCTTTAGGGAGATTGTCCAGCAGTACTGGTTTCACATCTCTTCAGTGTGAATCTGAATTCTCCCCTTTTTATTTTAAGCCACTGCTAGGCTCTTCAGCGGAAGGTCTCTTTATTGATCCACATAAGACTGCGTGTTTCATTTGGTTTGCATTCGTACTCAATACAGCCAAAACTGTTACCCCATTGGCAATGATCCCGCTTGTGGTAGTTGTAGAATTTGACTTGCCAGACTGTTTCAAAAACACCAATGTCGTTAAACTGCAAGGAAGAGGGAATATCAGTGTTAGTGAGCTGATTATTTTGTTGGTTTCTCTCTCTTAAGGAAACTGTGGACCATAAAACAGCTGATGTAAGGGTTATTGTTCCTCAACTCAATAAATCAAAGATCTGTAAAGCCCGCTCTAGCAGTCATAAAGTCTTTTATGGTGAGGCATACATAAACCATGAAGGGTCAGATTCTCCAGCTACTATCTGCTTGCACTTGCATCTGGAAAGGCAAGTCAGTGAATATGTTCTAGATCCCACATGGATAAACGTTACTAACAGCAAGAATCAAAGCCGTAATCCTTAGGGTGACTCAGCAGTAGTTGGCCCAATGATCTTCAAGTGGCTTGTACATACTGTAGACCATGTAGCAGCAATCTGTAGTGATGCAGGCCATCACTCTTCACCTTTATACCATACCTAGAGGCTGCTCCTTCTTTTGCTTAATCTAAAATCTTTAATGCCCCTGTATTTTGTAGCCTTGTGTTAGCAGTGTTTTGACTGAGACATGCTGCTATTAGACCACTTACTCCTTCCCTGGATTCTGTTCCACATTTTACATGAAACAAGCAAAAGAAGTTATTTGTGCATTTCTGTAATTGCTAGCTGTACTGTGATAGTGCACTTTTCAAACTGAGGTATGAATAACAGAAGCTAGGAAGAAGATAATCAGCGTGTTTAGCAGATAAGTGTCAAGTACAGTGAAGGAGTAGTGAGACATTGTCTGTAATTTGTCTTATTGTATTTGTAACTTTGGAGTGAATGATACTATGGCTCTAGTAAATTTTGTAGAACAGAAATCTCCCCTTTTTATCTTAAGCCACTGCTGGACACCTTTACATCATCAGGAAAACCTTGTGAGGGTTTCAAGGATAGATTATGATTTCAGTTATAATGCTGCTGCAGAATTTGAGTTTCTGTGCCTCGAGACATTGCAGAGAATCTGAAGTGTGGGTGTGAAGCCTGTATGTATTGCAGTTGGTCCCAGTAGCATGGCTTGATTGTGTTATGTTGTTAGATACTAGATGTGGATTCAGTGATACTGAACAGCACTGTTCTTCAACATTTTTTCCTTTTAAATATTTCCATCACTCACTTTAATGACGGCTCCTTCACTTGACTGTTTTCCATTCCCATCATGTGCCTGGGAGCTGACCTTCAATCATCTGCCTATTACAATCCCACTTGCAAAGTCTGTATGAAAGCCCTTTTACACAGTGACTCTTCCCTGAGTTACAAGCAGTCTTCTCTATCCAGTTTTCTCAGAAGGACATGTAGTTTATTGGTTTTTTTTTTTTTAATTCAAGATATGGTTTGTAAGCTGCTGCTGTGTAATGGACATTGCTTTAAACCTTCCCCAGCCCACTGTGGTAAGTTAAATTTAGCCTTGACAACGGCAAGAATTGCTGTGTGCTGTTAGGGGAAAGTTTTTATTTGGCTCCAGTTCCAAGTGTTATCTTAAAGGAATATCTGAAATATTTCTGTGCCTTCATTTGACAAAGAGAGAATCAGATATCTTTGTCAAAAGACAGCCTATTTTATCTCTCCCAGCAACTAAAACCTTAATTAAGGTTTGGGGTTGGTTGTTTTGTTTGATAGTAATCCTGATGCACTCATAATGCAAGAGTAAAAGTTAAGCACATTGGATATTACTGTGCACAATCCAGAAAGAGAAATTGTCAGAGAGGAGCATCAGCCACCCTCAGTGTGGAAACTGAGGAATGAAAGGCATTTCTAGTAGCATTTGTAGAAGGTGGTGTGATACAAGAAGAGTATTTCATTTTGTTAATGTATGAAGGATCTGAATTTCAACAAGACAGAGGAGGGAAACAAATTCTCTATTCCTCCAATGACCCAGTTTTGCTGAGCTACCCCAAGTAGTTTGCTGTGGATTTCCTGGAGAAGGAACAAATTAACTGCAGGGATTTTCTACTACCCTGTGCCTCCCCCCAACCCAGTGCTTAGCAGATGCAGCAGCTCTGTGGCATCATGAACATTCTGCATCCTCAGAGTTCCCCTGAATTCCCATGACTCCTGCAGCTAAATCCTGGCTCCTTCACTGGGCCTGTATGTGGGCCTCCTCAGAGAGGAGGCATGGCCCTACCTGTAGGTCAGGCTCACTTCCCTGTCTGCTATTCTCTCTCATCCAGTAGTATAGGTGTGAACAGTTAATCATTCCCTCTGAATTTGCATGCTAGGATGATTTGATGACTATTCATTACTGTGAATAGAGGTTTAGCTTCTTTATTCAATCTGAGACTAGTCTGGCTGAGAACCAAATGAGAGGTTTCTAAATAAGTTTACATCATTTACTAGAGAGTTTAGCAGTTTCTCCATAGTGAGCGTAACTGAGCATTCATGTAATAGAAATATATCCTCAGATTCTGGAATTCAGAAGCAGGATTGTTGTTTTACATGTACAGACTATGGCTGTAGCAGGCCAGATGTCTACCAGCCAGCTGAAGAAGGCACACAAATTATTTGAAGTTTTAAAGCAGTTGGAAAATAATTTTTTATGGACCTTTATGGACATTGTGTCTTTCAGGAGTATCAAACCAGTGCTTAACTGCAGGATTGACCTCACAGTCTGTTTCTAATGTGAGTTCAGATTTTATGCCTTAAATAGTGTCCTTATCTCCCTAGGATGTATTATCAGGATCCTGCCAGTTCTAGAAAAGGAAGTGGAGGCAGAAGTTCCTCATAGTTTAAAGAAGCAGGAAATCTTAAAGCCATTTGTAATAAGCCCAGTTTTGAAGAATCAGGAACTAGGTATTAGAAGCAGCTTTCAGACTGGGTATCTTGAGGCTGGTTGCCTTAATCTGTTACAGCTCTGTCTAGCTGAGCAGCTAAATGATGAGCTAAACATGTAAATCCCAGTTGAGATGCCTATACTTATACATAAAAGTAACAACTGTGGAGATCCTGAGTAAGTACTGAAAAACCTATCTATGAAGATCAGATCCTAAAAAAGGTTGAGGACCTGCTTAATGCTTGAAAATCCTATTAGCATCATGGTTAATATCCCAGGATTTGATTTGTAAAAGCAACTGTTTGGGCAAATAATGTGGCTTCGCATTCTGATGCTGCAACAAAACACCTCAGAGCTTGTATCTGTAAATCAGACCCTCCTTGCATTTCTTGGAATTGCTTTATTTGATTTGACTTCGTTTTCTCTGTAAGAAAAGTTAAACATCCAGATTTTTAGGGTTCATATGAGTGTTTCACTTAAAG